TTAGGACAGTATTTCCTGAGTAGTGTTGGGCCTAACAAGTCAAAGCCAGCTGAGACATTTAGGGGATAACTTCCTCTATTCATGTTGGTTTATTTTACATTTTTGTGTAACGAGATGGGAGTTTGTGTGTGTGCCTCTGAATGAGTCTGTGTGTTATGTATGGCATTTCAGCAATCTGTGAGCGTATAGCAAGGAGTCATGTTACTTCACTCTAGACAAGAGCACACTGACTGTACATGTTTAGGTTGTGTCTTCACACTTTACACACAGCAACCTCAGTTTCTCTTGTTTAAATGCCTTAAACTCTTTGAATGTGTATGAATTTAGGTTCATATGACGGATGACATCCACCCTAGTATAATAAAATATATTATATTATATTATATAAAACAATATTGTTTTAATTGCTTTCTGTACAGAGAAGCTGTGAGGTTATTTTCTTTTTTCTGTTTCCTTTTGAATACGCAGTGGGGACGTCATGAGTCAATGTGTAGAATTAATACAACTGTAGATTGCTATTTTTAGCATGTTTCAAATCTAAACACATTTTAAAGGTATTTGGAGCTGCTGGTCAGTCTATGTACCTTCCTTCTGTAAAATACATGTTATTATGCCTCTGTGAAAACAGACTTTATATAAATTGCCCTATGAGTTGAATTCATTATAAGTGATATGAAATAATGCAGTGATTTGCAAGACTTGTTGTTGACTATGCAGTAGCTTGAACATGGTTTGCTCTTTAGAGCGACTTGATGTTAGAACATTTAATGCATTTTGAGGTGAAATGTAATTTGTACTTTTAATTCATGAGACATTGTACTTCTTAACATAGTATTTTAATTATAATTTTAAATTAATGTGCCCCTGAGGCAGTTGAGAACAATACAAGTAAAACTATAAAAGTTATTTATTTAGAAATTATAAATCTGTTGTATACAAATTACTTTTTAAAAAAGTATCCAGAGAAAACTACCAAAGCAAGTCAAAATGGCAAGATATGATATGCTACCTCCTGCCAAAGTATTTCATCAGCAAGTTGTTCATTAAAGCACTTTGATATCATTTGAAAGACTAATATAAATAAGAAATATAATGTGTAAGCCCCTGTAAAGTAGCTATTCTAATGTTGTCATAAAAATTACACTGATAAAAACCTTTCTCCCACATGCATTTTATTAGTTTCTTACATGACCTTAATCTGTGAATAATAATGTACTTAATGCACTTGGATTGTCACTATTGTCACTGACAGCGATGAATGGCTGTAAACATTGGTGATAGCAGGAGCTCTATATGAACTTGGTTAATTGTAAAAGGAAACATTGTTAATTGTTTCTGGTGAATTTAGCCCAAAAATACACTGCAACATAGACAATATCATTTGTTTTGAAACAACAAACCTGCTGACTTTGAGGTAAAACAGTGGAAACTTACTGTATCAAAGCCTGCTTTTGTACAAAGAGAGAGGGTTAACCGAAGGTGAGATGGTTTGAGATAAGTGCATATTTGAATGTTCAAAGAAAAAGGCATATATTTGAAAGAAATGCCTTAATGGCTGGACAGTTATACAGTGGCATTGTAAATGTTTTATACATGATGTAAACTGTGTTGCGTGGCTGCCACAGAAAAAGACAGAGGTCAGGATGACAGCAGAGAGATACCTGGAAAGGAGATGTGAGTGATGTGTTTGCACAAATTTGAAAGTAATGAATATGATGAATGAGTGTAACATAGACTGAAAAGGCGACATACATGTTTGCAATAAATTCAAAACACAAGCTACTGAAAGTGTTTCTGTCCATGAATTTGTCTATATCTAATGTGACAAAACCCAGATGAACTCTTTGTTAGAGAAATTGCAAAGTAAATATGTCAACAAATCACTTTTTTGTTTGGGTTACAGACGCAGGGATGTCAGACTTGTAAAGAATAGTAAAAAGAGGTATACTTTCTAATAAGGTAATGTAATGTAAGGGTTTATAAGTTGTAACTCATGGTTTTATTACTGATTAAAAAGCATTTATTAATGTCTGAAAAATCGGTTATAAGCCACTAATAAGAACACTTTTTGGATGCATGTTGCAAAAATCAGCTTTGGCTGGTCAAGTTTTTTTTTTTTTTTTTACATCATGGCAACCCCAAAGTAGTTTTTAGCATTAATAAATGATTTATGAATAATCAATAACGCCATTGAAGTTGCAAATTATAAACCCTTAATAAATGGTGATTTATTAGCTATCAAAATAGTCAATAAATTAATTAATTTGTAAAGAAAAAAGCCTGGCAGCAATGACCTATATTTTTATTATGTTCCACACTACTCATATACCGGTTGATGTTCTTCCTCAAACATTTTTGTATACTCTGATTTAGACTTTTTGATTGTTTCTGAACACATTTTTATTCCTACATCCTGTGATAATCAGGTCCGAGAGATAGAGGGAAATAAAATGCAAATAAGGTCAAAATTTGCCTTTTATTTCCCTCTATCTCTCTGACCTGATTATCTTGGCCGCCTGCAGTTTGATATATGATAAAGTTTTAAACCTACAAAAAAAAAATTAAATGACAAGGGTCAACGGGAATCGAACAGATTTATGCCAACAGAAGTACTCATTTGGCATCTGCCAGCGTGCAAGGTTAGCTTTCTGGTGACACTGAAACATCACCCGAGGCTTAAGTTCAACCTGACAGTTTGCTACTGTGTTTACTTGGTTGCCATGGATGCAGCAAGACTGGCAGACACTGGTTTGCCCCCAGCTGCTCTCAGTGGTTTCTAAAGAATCTACATTAAGGCCCAGTTGTTGTATTTAGATGCCAGGAGGGGCTCTAATGTCACAGCTGTGACACAAGAAAAGTCAAGATTTATTGCCTCACCTGGATCAACAAGTGTGTGTTACATTTAAGCCTCTGAGGTACATTTTGTCTCCTTGGACTTACTGCAAACAAATTAAGGCAGTTGCTTTAGTTAAAACAGTGCAGCTAACAACAATGCTAACTTGCACACAACCTTGACAGCATGGAATAATCTGGTGTAATATATACAGGTTCAAATTTAGGAGTTTGCCATCTTGAAAAGATCTGATTGCCAGACAATTAAATTCGCATTCGAAACCACCAGGAGGAAAGATTTTCTACACTGGGATCACTGATTTCTAAGGCTAAGGCTAATGTACAGCAGATATAATATTTACCGTGTTCATCAACTTAGTTTAGCATGTTAGCATGCTTACTTTTGGTAATTAACTCAAAGTGCAAGAATGGGAATGTATTTGTTTAGCATTTGGTCATAAATGAAGGTACTGGACAAAATCCATTTGTTAAAACATTTTACTCAACATCCAAAAATGGGAGCCTCATGGTGGCACTAGAGGAAATGGCAGGGGCTCATCAAATTCATTAGGATTCATCCTGTAGGAACCATGAATGTCTGTTTCATGGCAGTCCACCCAATGGTTAAAGAGTCTGTATTTCAGTCTGGATCAAAGTGGTTTTGTTGGGCCAAGCAACACAGCCGTTACATCAGCCATATTGCAAGATACATGATATTCTGTGGTATCCTCTGACTCTAATTGTACACAAAGGCTGGATGACAAACTGGGCACAATGACAAACCTTTAGGGACCTATGAGTTTCGGGGCCAGGTTCACTATGTCACAATTACTTTGAAGTAATTTTCTTAATTTCCAATTCGTAGGGGAATATGTGCTACTTAAGTACATACGTTAACTGACAGTTCAAGGGCCCTAAGGAAGCTCCTTTATTATCACCTAATGTCGCGGCCCTGTCCTGTGGAATTATGCTTACTTACATTGTACATATATACCTACATAAATATGTGTTTAATCCAATGTCCACAAACTAATTGACACATAGTGAACCAAGGGCAGGATAGGATAGCATTCCAGAATAGGAGTACCAGTTTTTGGTCAAATTATTATGGATACCATGTGTAGTTGCAATGAACACTGTATCTGATGTACTTTGTGTATGACAGATTGAATAATGATCAATATCAAAGCAGCAGTGGCCGAGCTATCCAGACTTGTTAGTGTCCTTCAAATTTAACAATCCCATTTTGTAATGCAGACATTCTGTCATAAATTTGTACTCTTTATGCAAAAGGTATTTGATATATCTTTTTTCAGACCTAACACTTTTTACAGGATAAGTAGTACTCATAAACTGATTTTGACAGTTAGACATTGCCTTTTTAAAGCCAAAAGGAACAATGTCCGACAGCTTTATTTTGCCCAAAGGGTAATCCATTACTGTTGTACACATGGTACAATTGTTCATAAATATTGTTTTGTTGATACAATTCAAAAGTCAAAAAGTGTTTCCAGTGCACATTTTATTATTAGCCAATTACAGATCTAACAAACTGTTCTTTAAATATGGAAATACAAAGTTAAGAGTAGCTCATAAATCTTAAAACTACCCAAATGTTTTTGCACAAACAAGAGTCATTTTGGCCACGTACAAAAAAATATATTCAAGTGTTGATGGATTCATTTTTGGAGATTCAATTTTAACCTCAGATCTTGCAAGTACAAAGTAAAGACAATGCACACACATCGTCTCATTAGGAAAAATTTTAAATCACCAAAATTTTAATTAATTGATATTACTGTGCTAAATAACTTTCACTTTTAAAAGTGTGTGAAAAATGATACGGTGACATAAAACAATAAGTTGTTCCACCTTGTAAACACATTTAATTAAAAAACAAAAGGATTGTTGACAGAAAGGAGCGTTTCTATTCACAGGGAAAGTTAACCCACTGTCTACAGTGTGATATTTACATGTTTATCTGTACTTTAATTGTGTTTGGAAATTACAGTGGTACTATCTAATCATGCTGAGTATTACCCATCAAATAAAAACAAATATCCTGTGTGTGCCCATCATAAATACATTTCAAGGAAATTCACAAAAAGAAGGAATTCCTGATTTCAAACAAAATGTCAAATTAAAATGAAAATGTCAAATTAAAATGACTTAAATATTCACAGGAAAGTAAACATTGTATGTGTTGTTAAAAAAACATTCACCACTTTCTCTCTTGCAGTCCTCTCAGCATGAGGCTGAGGTGTGATAGCTGTCCCTGAATGCAATAAACCCTCAAGAGTAAAAACTGGCTCCTGGATAGTTCATGGTATCTCTTCTACCAGCTGGAGTCAAAAACCCTCTTGCACATGTTTGAGTTCTCCTGGTGAAGGGGGAATTCAGAGCCAGGGACGAGCTGCTTCTTGCTCTTTGACGACACAACGCTCTTTCCCGAAGACAAGCTCTCATACTTGGTCAGGTATTCCCTGAAAGCAGAACATCAGTTATAGACAATTAGGTTTTGTTTAAGCTGATTCAACAATACAAAAAGCATTGAAATATTTTCTGTACCTGATGGGGAAGGTGGCTTTGTCCATCTGAATGCATACCAGGAAGGGATATTCGGAAAACTGGACAGTAGTGATGAAGTCCAGCGATGCCTCTGTTTCGAAACTGACCTCCACACCCGCTCTCATAAAGTCCATGTCAACTGTAACGTTGCCAGTGACCACTAACGCTCCCCTGAAACCATAAGCAAGTGGAAACCAAATAAAATTGTGTCCAACAGACAAAGGAGAATATGTGAAACTCACATTTTCCCATGTGAAATATCACATTTCATTAAAGTTCATGTGAAAATACCAATATTTTATAGGGTAAATGTCCAGAAAACACATACAGTATGCCAGCATGTGAATTAATCATGTAAAACCATGTGCATGAATTATGCAAGGACTTGTGAAATGGAGTTACATATAATAATACGTGTGAAATATTTCATGTATTTGAAAATTTGTAGGTCATGTATATACTACACGCTGTCTAAAAACCTTGTTTTTTGTGAATTTGTCACATTAAAAATAGTGCTCCACATGTAATAAATTCACAATTGCTTTTTAGACCCATGTGGGGTAAAGAGGTGACAACTGTACATTATTATTATTTTAAGAGTTCATTATTTTCTATATAGACACATCTTTGCAGTATTATTGCTCACAACACTTACCAAAAGATACAATTGCAGTCACTTTAACCAGCAGGTACCACTTACAGTAAATAGTGAGTATAGTGCGTAAAATTGCTATGGTTACCTGCAATTTAATATACTTGTGTCCGAGGTGTTCTGGTATACAATTGTAACAGTATACAATTGACAGTTTCCAGCTATTCAGAACTATTATTATTATTATAATAACCGCTGTGGCATATGGTCCTTGTTTGTTCCCATGTATTTATATTATACAGTTTGTATCAGTGACCCAAAAGCACAGTAAAGCTCAGACACTAACAAGTAGATATAATGTACCATGTATGTTTCAAATCAAAGTGTGTGCCAGCCAGTTGAAAATCCAACCGCGGTAACTTTGCCACGGAGACATGCCTTGGCAAGGATGCCAGTGTGGTTTGTTCTGCATCTATAGATAGCCTGCCAGTCTATTATCAGAGTCCAAGAGGTACAACTATGCTGATCCATTCACCTGCCTCTGCCATTCCCCTGCACACATGGGTCAAATCATCCTCAAGTCCAAATACAAGATATGTCCCTTAATAGTGGTCTACAAGCAGAGAGAAAATCCCAAAACAGAAATATAGAAGCTCTTTCTTCTGCCCTAAACCATATTTTCTTTCTTCATGATGCTGTTCCAAAAGGGGGATCAATTCCACAGTGGAGGCCCATTAAAATAGCCTTTTCTTTTCAATCTTATTTAAGTCATTTTATTGTAAATTTAAATTTAGAGCTGTACATTAAATGTGTCACTATTGCAAGCGTAATTTTAAGGCACACGGGCAGAGTACAAGACCTATAAGTTTTAGTCAGGGTACCAATGGTTTTTTGATAACATTAAAAATCTGTGACCAAAAAACAAGGGAACAGGGTGAAGAATCTGACCAAACATTCGGTATCAACTTTTCTTGAATTTAGTTTTCAATACTGTTATGGACAAAATGTAGTTGGTACTTAAAAAGTACTGAGGTGCATGTAGGCCTATATGCAGCCGTGGCTTGTACAGGAAAATCACACTGTATTTTAACGTTAAAATCTGTGGCACTGCTCTTTTAATCCTGTTTCATCACCAGATGCCGCAAACTAACCGATACCAGCATGATGATGTGCTCCAGCAGCTACCGTTGTGTGTTGACCGTAATGTTTTAAAATAGAGAACCAGACAGAACTGACATCATATCCACACAAACCTAGAAATGAAACAGGCGTGAAGCACAATACTGGAGCATGTCCAACGTGTCGGTGGAACAAATGACTTGGACAACATTTATAGACCATCTAAAGTTAACGTGAATCCAACATCAATAGAAATCTATTTAAGGTCACAAAAGCTGTTTTCTAAGAATTATCAGCCTATCATAAAGTACTTTGCCCTGCATGTGCCTTTCATCATACTGTATAGACAGTATCTCTACAAACGTACTCTGACCTACATACATGGCACATACCAACCATTATGGAAAACCATTGCTGATGCCTTAATTCAACTACAGGACATAAACAATTGCAACAGTCGTTTTATGGTAAGGACTGTACCTGTTATTGACACTGGTCTTGGACTCCCTGTACCACAGACTAATCTCCATGCCGCCAGAGATGTCAATTGCTAACCCTCCTTGGAACTCTGCACTCGCCTTCAGGCCAGACTGCAGCTGAATCACCTAGAGGACCAAAGATGAGCAGGAAAGAAAACAAAAACACACAATGGAAGGTTATGTCTGACTTCACTGATAATTAAGATTCCTTTTATCATAAAGCATTACGTTCAAAGTAGCCACAGCATAAGGCATATGAAATCCCACATCCTGGTATCAGCTGTTCGCATTTAGACCTTGTTCACACTCACTAAGCTCGACAAATGAAGTTATAAACTTGAGTCATTCACTATCTGTGTCTGTGTACACATTTTGTCCAAGTAAGACCTCGTGCCTACATGACAAAATAGGCTCTGGGTCAGTGCTTACAAAATGACCCAAATAGACTGTCTTGCTACTTTTTCTGGAAACTAAAATTACTTGGTTGCCAATGCCGGCTGTTGGCAGGAGATGCAAACCTCAATCTCCAATGTCAAAGTCTATGCATTTTACACCCAATCATCCATATTTTCTTTCTGTGGCAACAATAATAATAATATGGCAGCATCAAACTACTTTTCTATGAAGATTCTCAGTCATCCAGGTCATAGTTATCCAACGAAGGTTAAAATCAAGGGCAACTGGACTTGGTTGAAGATACTGGAAGACGTTTCGTCGAACCAGCAGTATCGATGACCCGGGCCAACGACCCCACTGAGGTTAAATAGCTGAGTTTCCCTGCCAGTCAGTAAGAACTGAAGAAGTCCTTTGGATGAGGGACGAAACGTCTTCCAGTATCTTCAACCAAGTCCAGTTGCCATTGATTTTAACCTTCGTTGGACATCAAACTACTTGTGGTTTGCAACGTAAAACTAGGTCTTCTCAGCTGTTTTAACAAATCACCAATGCTGTTGTTTTCCCCTGAGATGACCTCAACCAAGCTGAACTACAAGCTGCAAATCTGACACTGTTTTGAAAGGGAATTAGGATTTCTGGAAGCATTGTGCCGCATATACCAATTGTTAAGTGTTCTCTTCCATTAAATTCATACAGCCACGGTCATTTACCAAGCACCTAGAGTCAGCAACCTGTATGTCACTCCTTGCTGCATGCATGACTCATTACTACTCTCGTTTTTAACCATACTGAATGTAAACTTTAAATACTAGTTTCATTACTACATTAAGGTCTAGTGTAAATGGTGGCACTGATGCAGTACACAGTAATGACTGCTTACCTCAGAATGATCAGTCAGCAGGATGAGACCCTTCACTACATTCATGGGCTCCCCGGTCATGGAGAATATTTTGGACATGAGGTCGCTGTAACCCTTGAAGAACGTGACAGGCCGCAGCTGGACGTCGAACAGCAGAGCCGACATCCCAGCAAACGACTCCAGGTCTCCTTCTCCCTCGTCGGGTGTGGCAGCAATCAGTGACTCCAGACCCTGTGCCTCAATTGCCACCTAGAAAACAGGAAGAATTTCAAAATTAGTCTAAATAAGCAATTTGATAATGATCTGTTCTGATATTTCATAGACACTACATAAAAAATGGTACATAAGGAAAGAAATCCATGAGTTATGGTGTAGAATTATGGCCAAAAAATAATAATTTCCAGGTCATTTTGATGTCACAGTTAAGTTGACTTTTTCATGAAGGCATTACTGAGATATCACATGCACGTACCTGCAGTCCATGTAGCATCGCTCCATTACTAGCACCGTAAATATTCATGTTGCTTCTTCTCAGGATCCCAGAGCCTGAATAAAGGATGTCCAAGCTGTATGTGGAGGTCAAATCAGCAGATTCTGTAGGAAGAGGATTTTAAAATATTCAGTCCGCATGCATGCATATAGCTGTTATTTATCTTCTTGTTTAAAAGCAAATAATAGTGAGACTCATGAACTTTTATTTTCACTGTTAAATTTTAAACATTTTTCTTTATTTCATCTCAGATTCTAAATCTTCAACCGATATATTGTGTGATTTATTTTAAGCTTCGAGATGTTGGTTGATTACTCACGTGCCATGAATCCGGAGAATGCAGACGATGACCCGACTTTTGAAAAACGGTCGTAGTTATGGGAAATCATGTCCTTAATAGCTTTCTGTATGACTTTGCTGAAAAATGATTTTTAAAAAATGATATTATACATTAAATAGCTGCAATATGTATTGGTAACACAAAATGCTCTTTTTTGTTAGTGATCAACTCAGAAAACTCAGCATTTCTGTTGGTCCATTGGATGTCCATTAACACACCTGGCAGGCAACTGGAAGCGGAGGATGTCCTGGATCTTAGACAGCATGTATTTGTTCATTTCATGAGGCAGGTTCCCAATAGACAGAAGCAGATTCTTGACCTCTGTGTATGAGGGGTTGCTACTGAGGATGACATCAGCAGCGGCAGCTCTCACGTTTTTCTCATAGATCCGTCGATTCTGGTGGTAAACTCTGTTCACTGTCTTCTTAACCTACAAATGAGACGAATGTTTTTTTTTCTCAGTTTTTATTATGCTAATTGCATAGCAGTTAACACTCATAAACATCAATTCAAATAAAGTCTTGTATAGAGTATGGCTCACCTCATCGGTCATGAGACTGACATCGTATCGCTGCAACGCGGTGAGGGCGATGGTGCTGTAAGCTCCCACCTCTGACTCTGCATATTTGATAAAGATGGGAATGGCCTCGGGAAGCATAGAGTTCTTCAGAGCCAGAAGATACATCTGGACCTCGGACTCTACCTTTGTGCTGTCAGGGCCGTCTAAAATCAGCTTCTTCACCTTCACTACTGTCTGAGAATTAAATATATAGCAGGAGATCATTAGTCTCGCTCTTGGATTCATTCAAATTTGGTTTGTTCCCAGACTGCACTTCATTTATGTGTACTTCGTCTTTTATTATCTTGTTGGAAACTCACCGGTAACTTGCACCCTCCTTTCTGACACAGCTTATGCACAAGGGCTCCCATAATAATCACCACTGACTCTTTAATGTCATTGTTGCCGATCTTTCCTTTTGAAATATCCTATAATGGAAAAACTCTTCTCATTAAAATTCTCAGATAACATTCAATAAGACTTGGTTTTGTGGACTTATTCTTAAGACAGACAATTTAAAAAGCTGATCTCAAGATTTCTAGGGCAGAAAGAAGAATATTATACAGAAATGTATGAAGAGACCATTGATATGTAATGTGTTTGTTTCCACTAAACTTAGTTTTAAAATGTTTTTGAAAAATCTGGGGAATCTTGAAAATGTCAAGACCTGTGGTAATTGTTTGCTTTTGCTTTTTTAAACCACTAGAGTGCCAACTTTTTTCTGGATTCATTTTGGAGAAAATAAACACTTTGCAGTTCATATCTTGAGGCAGAGACTGATCAAATAACTGATATGTACTCGATCACGGCAGATCAGATCTTTCCTTTACTAAGCAAGAAAAGGTGCCAAGTCAGTGATTAACAACATGACACTCACCAGCAGAGCCTCGAGCATCCTCTCATTGGGATGTGAAGCAAAGCCACATGCATAGAGAAACCTTTCCTGAAGAACAAAACCTTTGGCGTCGGTGAAGTTAAGGAATTCAAGAATGGCATTCAGAGATGGAGCAGTTTGGGAGGAGGTCACAGCATCCACTACCTGAGGTCTGATACCAGCAGGAAGAAGGTAGATACAACAATGGTGAGTTAATCTTCTTGCGTCCTGACATTCTCAATCTTAAAAGTTAGACTCAATCAAAGAAACAGCAGAGATGGAGTTTGTAAGTAAGTTAAGATGTAGGAAACAAGTAGAAGCATGTTTACAGAGATGTCTTGCTGGCACTCTTCAGCACTTTGAGAATCTCATCCTTGGATGCCTTCCTAATGCTCTGGATGAGGGCCAGGAAGCTGCGAGGAGCCGTGGCTTTGGACAGGCTCGCTGGCTCCAGCTGCTTCTGTTCGGCCTGCCAATGTTCAAAAAGCTAAGAGGGAGCACACAGGGGAGAGGGGATTAGAAGACAGATCATCTTCAGGCAATAATTACAGTACAAAAATATACAGTATCTATTTACTAATACAGTGTTACAGTATTTAGGAGTCGTTCAGACCTTCAGACGCTGAAGAAGGTCTCTAGGCACCAAAATGTAACTTGTACTCATTCAATGAAAATGAAAAGCAGTGTGTGGGAATGTATTTGTATAAGAAATACTGGATGTGTAAGTGTTTTTCCTAGCTTTCTTCCTAGTAATAATTACTTTCAGGTGATGATGATTATCATGTTCACCATCCTAGTTTCGCATGTTAGCATGCTAACATTTGTAATTAGCACTAAAAGTACAGCTGATGCTGAGTTAGTATTTGGTAATAAAACCAAAAAATTGGACTATTCTGACCTGATGATGGCGCTTGAGGAAATGTTAAATAATTTCTAAGGATTCATCATGAGTGGGACATGAATATTTGTACCAATCCATCCAATAGTTGTCAAGACATTTCACTCGAAACGACACATTTTAACCTTGTGGTGGTGCCTGAGAAAAAGTCAGGGGATCACCAAAGTTATTAGGAATCATCATCTGGGGACCATGAATGTCTGTACAAAATGTCATGGCAATCGATTCAATGCCTGTTGACATATTTAAATCTGAACCAAAGTGGTGGACCAACTTTTCCACCCCTAGACCACGGCTAAAATGTGTTTGTGTGAAAGGGAACAGGTACTCACTGATGGGCAGCCCTTGCACTGGGATTTGACCTTCTCCGCAATGATACCAACAGCTGCCAGTTTGCCATCGATTGACTTGACAACCCCAGTCACATCTTTCCCAGCAGCCTCCGGCGCTCCAGCCTCTGTTCTTACCAACGTGAGGGTTTGTCTGGAAAGCGAGGCATTTAAATATTTTAAAATGTGCCCCATATTACAAATGGCAATACACATTAATTCTTTGTTAAGACCTTTACCTCGACAGGACTTTAGCTGCAGCAGATCTGCGGGCGTTAACAGCCAGCGAGTGTGTTTCTTCAGCTACGGCCGAGCGGATGAAACCATCTTCAAGTGTGAACACTGTAACAGAACTGGACTTCCTGCTCACACCCAAGACCTGAGGGGAGGCACATTTATTAGCAATTCAGTAACATTAAAATTTTGGCACGGTGAGTTGGTCTGGACACTGACATACCTGACTGTGTGTGGTGAATCCGGTCTCTGCAGTCCTACACGTCTCCAGGATCTTGGTTCTTGTCACTTGACCTTTGACTGCCTTGTACTCGACTGTGCACCTTCCAGACACGTCATTCTGTTCCCAGAGGTTAAAGTTTGTAAGCATTAGCTACATGTAATAAAACATGAAAACCATGAATAAATGTGATGGAAGTATAATCATGCCATTTACCTCTATAACCTTCCCAGTACTGAGCTGAACTTGCACTAAGCTGGCCAGCCCTCTTTTTAGGTTCTTGATGGTTGCAGGTTCGGCCCAGTAGGAATAAAATGCTTTTGCCTACAGCAGACGTGTAAAAAGAAAAGCAACACGTTAAACAGAACATCATGCCTTCGAACAATGGATACAGAGGCATTTTGTCGAACAGATTAAGCAGCTTCTGAGGCAAGTGACCCACAGTACTGTACGTGCTGCAACTCACAAAGGCTTTCAGGGTGTCCGTTTTCCTTTACACACTTGTGTACAGAAACATGTCTGCATGGTCATGACATCAGAGACTATTTGTCTTACATGCAGAAATAAGATATTAAAAACAAATACATTTTATAGCCTCTAATTATATTCTCAATACACATCAGTACATAGCACCTACAGTTTAAAAGATGAGTCAGTCTTGTGTTTACGTATGTTGATGTTATCATATTAAAATACTGGAATACTGGCTCAGTAATGTGCTCTGTGTCTTGCTCATGACTGGAGAAAGCAGACTATTACATCATCCTACAGTGTCTCCTATACAGTATGCAATTTATTTGTGGTGCTCAGCCACAATATCAGCCTGGACCACCATAAATAGATTGTCCACTGCGACTCTGTGTATTTTTCCTGCCGCAGCCTGCCATAAGTATAAATAACCTAACAACACACCAGGAGAGACACTGGTCTATCCAGTTCCACGCCATCTAACAGCTCCTTCTTCCAACCTTTACTCCACACTGAATAAGTATTAATACTAAGAGGTAAGATATTATTTAATATTTTAATTTATTTTAACTTTTTTCCAGCTGGTGTACAACAGTTCCACAACAGTCACAGACTTTTCAGAGTAAGATATAATCAATACAGTATGCTGTTGAAGTCTCTCTATACAACACACAAGTCCTGACTTCCTAAGAAAATGTTTATAAGTTATAACCATTTGCTTTATTAATGATTAATACAATTTACTAATATTTATGGATCAGTTATAAGGCAATAATAAGAAAAATGTTGGGTTGCCAGATTGTAAAATAATTAATTTGGTGGCGTTCGCACTGAATGCTAACGTCAGCATGCTAAGCAGGCATAATGTTTACCATGATAACCATCTTTGTTAAGTGTGTGTGCCATTAGTTTTGCAAGTATTTGGTCACAAAGCAAATTATCGGACGACATTTACTTTTGACCTGATGATGGTGCTAGAGGAAAGGTCAGTGGATCAGAGTTCATCCCATGGGGGACATGAATGTTCAAACAGAATTTCACTAACCATCCCCATGCTGCTTTGGCTGAAAACTGAGTGAAGAAATCGTTACTCTTGACAGCACTTTCTTCAGCAATACTTGCCCATAAACCGGTGCTGTATGATTCTCCTCATGAGTCTTTAAATGATATATGTAACAACCAGCCTGCTGTTAATCTTTCGGTGGCGATTATGCATTATTGGATAGTATATAGTGATAATGATGTGATAACAGTGAATGAGTTTGGCTTGAACCCAAACATCTCACAGCCAGTAAGAGGACAGTATGAGCCTTATCCACCGATCCCAGAGTCACTCTTTGTGTCAGACTTGTTCATTCATTCATTGACCTTTTGAACCTCGCAGACCTTTGCACGCACACACATCTGTGTGGTATTTCCCCTGCCAGCATCATCGCTCCAGCACAATGAACGTAAGCTCATTAATTAGCTGAAAAAAACAACAGTGGAGCACTTGAAGTACACTACTGACTTTGTAACATTATGTATGTATAAGATTATAAATTTTCTGAAAAAAACAATTCATCTCATAATCAGGAACTGCTACTGTCGTTCTTTGCCTGGAGAGAATATAAATGATCTCAGTGTTTACCAAAAATATAAACTCTTTATACAAAAAGGTGTTTTCTTATTAAATACTTCTTAAGAAAATATGAGGTTGAGGAGATAATACCAGCAATAAGTGGTGAGCCACTGATAAGGACTATTTTCTTTATACAGATATTGTTTAATACCATTTATAGCAAGGCTAACGCTCTTACCTTTCCATTTCTCAGATGCACCAAGAAAGGTTTTGTCAGAGCTGCTAGTTTGGTTTTCCCCAAAACGCTTTCCACTGTGGATCCATGGAGGACGTTCTTCTTCTCTGATCGACGGGACACAGGGTCGATCCTCACATTTGAGATCTATGAATGAGCGATTAGTACTGTATTAAGTATTAAGTACTGAGAGTCAAAGCCTGCACTCCCTTTTGCAATCAATGGATTATTCTAACGCTCATGTAACTCATTTGATTGAAGTGCATATGAATTTTCTATGACATGACATCAAGTTCTGTCTGCACATGTGAGTGGACCTACATACCGCCAGTTGAATCAATTGGTCATCCTTGCTGCTGGGATCTCTCCAGACTAGGTTGATGTCCACATCACTCGAGATCCTGTAGCCAGCACTGCCCTCTTTTGACCCCCTGGTCCTGTCCACCAGCACCTCGGTGGTGTAGCTGAATTTGTACAGCTGGTTGTTGTTCAGTCGGGGTCCAGCAGCACCACCTGAAGAAACACAGGAAACACAGCTTGTGAGTGGAGAGTGGTGCTTTATGTTACTGCAAACCATTTCCCAAAGTGTACTATAGCTTTTAAGACACATTTTCAAATACATTCTCATTATACCACTGGTTTCATTTCATGTCAGGACATTCTAAATATTAGCTAATAGAAACCTGAAACTTGATAAAGTAATTCATCCCCCTGAACATTCAGTCATGTTTGTCATGCAAAAATGCAGTTTTGAGCAGTGACTGTTTTTAAAAAACAACAACTATATTTTGTTGGTGTGTTCAAGCTCTAAGGTCTTAGATTTGAGTTTTGAGCAATGGTTGTGTTGTCCTGGGAAACAAACAAGAAGCAAACCTGGATATTGCCTAAAGGATAATGTTATTTCGGTAGCCTCATACATTTAAAAAGTAGCAGTTTGGGAGAAAACTCTCAAGTCAAAGATGCTTCTCACTAACAAATAGGTGCACTAGCACTACATAGGATGTTTTTCAAAGCAATTCACACTTTTAACTACCTTACTATCAGTGATAGTGTAACTTTACTCACGGTGCTGAATGAACTCAAACCAGAAGATGCGAAAGCTATAGTCTATATCTGTAATTCAGGTCATTTTAATAATAAAGCATATTGAGCTACATACTTAACACTGTTAATAGAGGATGATAACTTTTTACCAAAAAACACACACAAACACCAAATATGTGGTTTCTTATAACAAGATGGTATGTATCAAAATATGTAATTCAAGGTATATATCTTTAACTTGTGGCCCCACAAACTCTGTGCTTTATAGTTTCCCTTATACACTTTGGGTATTGACATGAAATAACTTCCACTGAGCAAACTGCCTTTCATTTTCTTTCTTTTTTTTGGTTTCCTTTCCAGAAATAATGTCTGTGAATAGTGTTGAGGTGATTCAATCAGCGGCCTTTCAACAAGGCGTGTTCAAAGATAAAAATCTCTCCTCTGCTCAGTTAATGACAAGCTCCTCGTTAGAAATGACATTAGGCCACGTGGAGAAGACAGACTGACGTGTCAGTATTTGATTTCATCACGGTCACTGAGGCATGAGGCTGAATTCATCTAACAAATGGTGTAATCAACCTTCCTCTCAAAAAGTGACACAAAACAAAAAATGTGTCACCTTGCCTTTTGTCAACAACTGATATTCTAAGGGAACATCAGAAAACACCAGCAGAAATAAAAAAAAATATATGTATATGTTGTGTTTTATCTACTGTACTCCTACTCCACTGACAATGAATGGGAGACACTGTGTGCACTGTAACATCACCCAGCATTATTTCCTGCAACAATTCATTCATTTGGGGATTTTACAGTCTCTGTCATTTTAAGCTAGAAATTAATCCTGTTTTCACATTTCTATTAATTGGAAATGAAGCAGCATTCTTCTTGTCCCTCATAAATTAATTCAAACTTTATTAAATAGTTTGCCTGTTGGCCCCAAACACCTTACTAACACAATCTATACATTTACTGACAGAAGGTCACAACGTTTCCAAACTCACCTTTGGCAGAAGTGGAGACAGAGGCGGCTGTACAAAGCAAGAACACAACCAGAGTTAACATTGTGTGTCCTCTCTCTGTATCCAGAAGAATCAAAAGCGATACAAAAAAAGGGAGTCAGTGACTGGAGTGGCACTAAGAGCCAAAAAGAAAGGCCACGCAAGTCCAAGCTTCCCCTATTATGTTTTATCGGAGGGGAGGGCAGACTCCAAACTCCACGCTCAAGTACTAAGTACGAGATAACTGGCAAATCATTAACCTGGGATGCACAGATTTGACAGGAACTTGTGCTATTGACAGATGCTGCCAGGAGTCCTCTTTTAATAAGGCGAGGCCACATCTGCATCTGCGGCGCGGCCATGTGATTGATTAATCAATGAAATGGGATTATCTGATTGATTTAAATGATCAAGGGGCAAGTGAGACTCCCCGCCGTCTGGACTTTAGGTTTCCAACAGACTGCATGCCGTAACGTTAATCAACAAACAATATAGTAGAACGTCATTTTGGTATAAAAAATAATTGCACAAGAAAAGCGAGCCATTCATACTTACCGAGAGGTGGTAGAGCGTCCTTACGTTCATGATACCTTTCACCTACTTACTTGCTGAGATGAACAGTCGGTGCTTTGTGGTGCGTCTTGGTTGGTTAGAGGAAATGAGCAGTCGGCAGTCAAACCAGCCCTCCAGCTCAGATTACAGTGGACCCAAAAGTTGCACATTTTCAGCTGAGGGTGAGTCTGTGTAAAATACTGAATAGGACATATTTTTACACAAGAGATATGAGCTTAGATCGGTGATACTTTTTGAGGATATTAGGCTGATGTGTCAGGTTTTAGACAAACTCCACTGCTGATTTCTCTGATTAATGCATTTCAAGACTCCATTCATCTGCTACAGATAATTACAAAAGTTGCAACCTCAGTTTGTAAAATTAAAATGATGATAGTAACAATTTAGATACAGTGTGTGTGTGTGTGTGTGTGTGCGCGCGCGCGTGCGTGAGAGTGCGCGCGCGTGGTGGGGGTGAGGCGTGTGAGGAGGGGATGTGCAGATTTTCACTTGATGGCACCATTCATCACGTTCATCAGCAGCATTTGGCTTTTTCACTTCACTTCACTTATTCTCCTGTTTTAAATAAATCCCACTCTATTATACTGTTGTGAAATTTTACCCAAATCAGCCCACACAGGTCAAACTTTTTGTCGTTGTCTGTCTTTTTACACCAGTGAAGCTGCTATTACTAACTAAAGTTTAGTAGGCCTAATCAAAATCTGCATCAAAGTCATCTTTACTGGCCAAGTGTAAGTGTGTAGACACATAAAGGTGACTGATTCTGGTTTTCAACAGCTCACAATATGCATGTATACATATAGAGAAAATTGTTCTTGCAGCGATATTTAGTTTGTCACATGTAGCCTACATTGCAAAATAATGATGCGGCACAGGACAGTAATCAAGCAGTTTTACTTAATTGTATTATCAGCTAAATGTACTTAATGTATCAAATGCCCCGTGTCAGTGTTGTTTTTTAGTTGGTCATTCTAAATTTTTAGGTAGTTTCTAAACGTACTGTAGGTTTTATATTTAAAATGTCAGATAACTGTAGTGGAGTAAGAACACTAAGGTGTTGAAAATAAAGGCAATTCAGATTGAAGCACAACAGCACTCCATACAGTATATGTGAATGTGACTGAGCAGCCACTGGGTGTCAGTGTCTGTCTGCTGATGTTGACTGTCTCCCTGTTTGGAGTTTCTTCAGCTCAATCTGCACTGAAAACAGAAATAAGATCACCTCTGCACTGATACCTTTACACCAGTGGTTCTAAAAATTTTTCACATCAAGGACCCCTAAACTCACACAAATTAGACCACAGACCCCCATTCTGATTTTGAATTTTAGATCTTTTATTACAGTGTATGAAACCTGTGACCCAAGTAGTCATAGATTCTGTCATTGTGTTACTTAGTGGTGGAATTACAAAAAAGACAGAAATGATTCCACTTTTTGCTGAGGACCCCCTAGAACCCGCTCAAGAACACCTGGTGATCCCCAGACCCCACTTTGAGAACCACCGTTTTACAGAATGTTTGTCTCTTCGGGTTGAGACTACGCAATCCAGCGGACAGACACCATCTCAGCACTCCTCATCTGATGATTCCCTTGCTGTCCTGAAGCTAGACGTCAGCCACAATTAGGAAGCTCTCAATGTCCAACTGCAGCCAGCAGTCAGTGTGCTTCTCCTAAGGACTACAGATAAAGTACTAGAAAGCATGTCATGACCTGTGGGAAGATTTGCCTTTTTTATAAAAGGGATGAATAGGTTATACCTAATTTTTTCTATGTACTTTTAACTAAAAACACATTTTACTGGTGGAAAAAGATGATGGTGCTGGTCATAATTACTGCGGAATAACTTCAGACTTTGTCATAATGTATATCGTCACATAATGACACAACTGGATGAAGATTTCATATATTCCCAATGTACCAAACAATACAGATACAGAGTACAAAACAATCACTGTGAAGCAACAGAAAAAGAAATCCCAACAAATTTAAATCTAATTTGTACAATATAAAGAAGCAAATATAGATCATTTAAGAACAATAAGAACGCTTAACTGAGGAGTCATATAGTAGTATTTATAATAAGAATAACCTTTATTTGTATATCACCTTTCTTAACAATGTTACATGGTGCAGCACAAGTGAAAGCAAAAAGAAAAGAGATGAGCAAGTATGAGTAAAACATCAGATAACACAAGCAACAATAAAATCACATGTAAAATCAGGGGAAATAATCAACCAAAGCACCTAATAAACTTTTTTTTAAAAGTAGGTTTTCAAGGGAGATTTAGAGCTACTTAATCTGAGATGCTCCGGTATGCAAAGACAAAGCTGCATTAACAACTTCCAGTTACAAACAGGTACAGATGGGGTCAAAAGGTCACTAATGTAAGACGGAGAAAGACAATGGATTTATAATATATTATTTATTTATATATTTTTAATAAAATTTTAAAAGTAGTTCTAAAGTGGAACCAATAAAGAGGAGCTAAAACAGGAGTGATATGTACATCGTTACTGTCTGCAAATTTATTTAAAATGAGTAAAGTACACAAAGTATATTATAGGGGGGGCAGAGCTCAACAGATATTATAGGAAAGCTATTATCGATGGACACAACATTTCTAGTGGTGTCCCTGGTTGCCTGCTAATCAGTGAACTCAATATTGTCATTTTTAATTGCAAGGAAAACTTGCATATTATAAATCACTGCTATCCTGTCAAATTTCTGGATAAAGGGATCCCGAAGGAGGGTACACATAACTGACTGTTTCACAAAGATAAATGAATGAGACACTTGCTCAGCGCTGATAATCAAACAATTTTGGCATTAAACTGGAAGGAGTCGATGTGTTTGAGAGGAAGGTTGATTATATCAGTAGGAACGAGTCTACTGTTCTCCACTGAGACTAGAAAAGGATCCGGAAGTAACACTGAGACACCTGGCCAAAAGGTCAAATCATAGGTTTGAAATCCTTGACAACACAGCAGATACGCTTATCAAAGCTTTAAATGCAAATGATCTGTTGTGCTGAAAGAGTGAGTGAGTGAGTGAAACCTACCATCTAAAACAGCAATATGGCTTTTCCTCTCCAACCGTGGAACAACGACTCCAACTCAGTCTAATCGCCAACAATTAGGGAACTGAAAACAGTCTGAGACAACACATGAGCAGCAGAGACACGAACCTCTGGTCCGTGACGTTTGACATTTTTTTTAATTGAGATTTCATAGTTACAGTTCTCTTGAGTAGATGTGTAGTATTATTCTTGCTGACAAAAACAATTTGAACATCAGGCTGATTTAAGTTTGAGCATCTCCTTTTGCAATTGCTGAAACTGGAATAAAATACATTATAAGTATCCGGCATTTCTTTAAGTGTCATACCAAAACTGGTTTCCATCTCCACCAAACAGTTAAATACAAATGAGATTGAAATTAATGATTGATATCGTTTTGAGCTGAAAGGTGTTAACGACATGTTTGCTTGTCATTGGTTCTGAAAAACAGCCTCTATGGTTGTGTGTGTGAGGGAGATGGCATAACACTTGTTTGCAATAAACCCTCCACTGGTGAATTAAGTGTTGTTATCACTGTGACTCCGTCCTAATTAAAAAGATAATAATAAAAGGAGGGAGTCATTATCCACACACAATGGCATCCTCTGCACCTCTTCCTCTGGCTGATCAACTGGTTCTTATTAAAGAGGTGGTATTGTGTTTTTGGCTTTTTCCCTCTCCTTTATTGAGTTATATATCTTTTTTATGCATGTAAAAGGTTTGCAAAGTGAAAAAGCCCAAAGTCCAGCCCAAAGGGAGCTCCCATCTCCCACAGAAAGCTCTGCTCTGAACCGCTTGAAAACAGCTCATTTGTAGTCCAGCCCTTCACTTCCTTTACTTGTGACGTCACAATGAAAACGCGTCATAAAGCTTGCCAAGCAGCTAGCGGGGGTCAGACACGCCCTCAAACCAAGCTAGTCTGAGCAGAGGCCCTTTGGCTCAACTCGCCTTTGTTTGGTTTTCCATTGTAGAAATGTTGTACCTGTACCTGCTTCCAGGTACTTTTTTTCGTATCACCTCATCTCTGTCCAGGTTCCAAGCGATCTGAGGGATACTAAAATGTAACCATAACAGACTGCTGATTGGTCAGAGAGAATATTCACTATTCACTGCATAATCATTGCGTGCACCAGACAGAGGCCATCAACAGAAAGTTTTATATTTTACAGATTTCGTATGGAATTTCATCACTAAATCCACTTCTGAGAAGTTTTGAGGTGAGAAATCAGCTCTGTAGATTTCGAATATTGACAGTTTTACGAGAAGTCATGGCGGAACGAAAATGTGCTTGAATATTTCCGGAGTTGAGGAGTTCCGTAAGTGGCTGCGGGGGAAGCCTGTGTGGGAGGAGCGTGTGAGGCCGGCCAGCCGCCCGCTCACAGAGCCCTCTGCTCCCGCCGTCACACAGACCGCTGCAGCAACAACGGCAGAGGAAAACACAGCTGGAAGGTTTTCATACCGCTTACCTGTTTTTACATTCTGAGGAATGTTGAAACGATTTAACTTAAAAAAGAGAAAGCAGTGTGTGTCGCATTGAACATTACATCGTGGCAGTTGTGTGTGGCGTCGCTATGATGACAAGCTACGTACTATCTCGATTTGTGCTAGACTCAAATACTAATGGAAACTCACAAACTCAAGAAGTGATTAGTGCTGTTTTTATTATTTAAGTCATGTATTTCACATGACATATGACCAACTCATCGTGAACTTTGCTCATTCATTGCTTCTGTAGCTCTGCTGGCCTTTGGTCAGCTGATAGCTTTGTTTTGTGGTGAATTTGTGGCGCTTTTTTATCAACAGATTGAGTTGCAGAGCGCCTTCTGGTGAAATGCAACACTCATGCCATGATATAAAGACCCTTCTCTCCATTTATTTTAATAGTCATTAATTGGCTGTTATAAACGCAGATACCAATTGAAATGCAGTTAGCTCATATCGGCCGATAAATCGGTCCTGTATTTGCAAGAGGTGTTTCCAACAAAACCTTGAGTGTGTCTTACTTCTTTAATCCGGGCCTGGCGATCATGTTGAGCAGCTAAACGCATCGTCTCATCAGGGAACTGAACAGAGATAGAAACATTCAGATCTGGATCTGTGTGTG